CCCCTCTCAGCCTTAGTAGAGATGAGTAGGTCAGAACAGCGCTACCTACTGACAAAGAGGAGAGACGCAACCCCGCTTCACCCCTTTTGGCAACCGTAATTTCTCCTAAAGAAGGAACCTCTCCAGGTCCCTGTCACAGCACCTGAGCTAGTGCTCAGTGGGTCATTCATCGGGGAGGGGCCGAAAGGAAGCCAAGGCAAGACTCCGTTCAACCAGGGACCGGGGCAGAGCCCACCACGGTGGTGAGGCAGGACCGCCCGGTTGCTACATAAGCCCAGAAAGGTTCTTCTTGGGCTCCACTGACCTCCTGCTCCTGCTGGTCCCTGTTAGGTCCTGTGCCCTCCTCCTGCGCTGTCACCTCACCCACTTGGTGGCCTCACCCCCGAGGGAGGCCCAGGAGGCATGGTGACTCCAACAGCTGCTGCTCAGCTGGCTTTGGATCTTTAGAACAGGTAAACGGTGGTGAGGTCAGGTGCCAGCAGCCGATGATAGGGGGGAAACTGTCGTCTCATCATGGCCTTCGTGGTTTGGGTTTGTCCAAGAACAAACTACTTAGGTTGAGACCATGGTGTCAGTCAGTGGATCCTAAAGTCACGACAGTGAAAGGGCTCACCTGGCCCATGCCCTTCACGTAAGAACCCTCCTACCCTCCCATCTGCCGAGAACGGTTCCCTTTGCTCTCCGGTCCGCTTCCTCCGAGCTCAGAGGCGCCTTCCTGCTTCTGCGGAGCTCCCGCAGAGGACAAGGACGGTGACGTTGGGAAACCCGGTCCCTGCCTTGTCCCTGGCTGTGGAGACAGTGCCCAAGGAGCCCCCAGGATCTCCTCCTGGAGTACCTGTCCCAAGTCCTCTTGACCTTTCTCGAAAGCTCATTTGGGAAGCCCCACTGCAACCCCATTTTTTTCAAACTCATGTTGTAAACACAGACCCCCGACGGTTAGCTTTCAACACGGGCCATGACCAATATGAAATGTTACGGTTTAGGGGTCACCCATGGGGAGAAGCAAGGAGCGGGTCCTGGTCACACAGACTGCTGGACCCATGCCAGAGGGCCGGGGGCGCGGACCGGCAGCCCCCAGTTTGGAGGTCGGTTGAGGCCGGACTCGCAGACAGCTGCTTTTGCAACCTGAACTCTGTTTTCCTGGCCGGCAGCACTGGGCGTTAATACTTCCATCACTGTATTTAGGAATTAATTTCTAGAGAACTCAATCGTCACCTCTTTTCCTCTCCCTCACCCTCTTCCTTTCTCCATTCCTTTCCCTTCTAATTTTCCACTTGGCTGGGGATTCTCCGGCAGGGGAAGTTCAGGCTTAGGCGAGGGCGGAGGTAGCTGCTTCATTAGAGAGGATAATCTCATTGGAACCACTGACTTGAATAATAACCCCTCCAAGGGACCAGGGCCATTGGCCCCACAGGCTTGTAGCACCTCCGAACCGGGGCTGGAAAGACGAGCTGCAGAGACAGCGGGACGGGGAAGGGAGGTAAGAGAAGGTCCGCAGGGCCAGACTCCGGTGCCGGGGGCCCGGTGTCTTCACGGGGCCTGCTTCCTCTGGCCGCCTGTGAGTCTGAGTTGGGGTGGGGCGGCGATGGCGGTGGCAGAGGTGAATGTCTGAACGCTCAGTCACACATAGCATGCCCTTTCTGTGTCCTTGGGACAGTTTTTGCATCATGCCTGGAACATGGGTGAATCAGGATATTCCTTGAATAGAAGGGGACGCTTTAGGCAGTCCTTGGAGCCCTGGTGAAGGTACCGTCTGAGCTGGCTCCAAGAGTCATGAATTCACCCCGTACGCCTTCCCCAGCTCTTGCCCGGGCTAACGAGAAGTCCCAGTCCTAGAAAAGCAGAGGCCATTACCCTGCCAGACCCCATGAGACCTCAGGAGAAATGCATTCGTCCCCTCCATTGTCCTGTCACACCGAAGGTCAGCTGCTGTGCACCCGGGCCTTCGCGGCCTCCGCCCTCGTGGGCTCTGAGCGTTAGTGGAAATGTCAGAGCATCCCTGGCCCTGACTTCAGCTTGACTTTCCACTGAGACCTGAGTTCCCAGTCTCCTGAGACAGTCGTGAGCAGGTGGAGCTGCAGCCCAGTTCATCTTCCTCCCCGTGCTCCCCTGACCTCTGGGAGGGCTCCTTCTCCCTCGAGAAGGAGGCTGCTAGAGCCACCCCCGTCTCTCTGTCCTTGATTTGCCCATGGGCCAGTCCTGCGAGAAGACAGGTGCTTCTGCCTTCGCTGCGGTTTGGCGGGGTTGGATGCGGAAGGCTGAGGGAGAGGGATAATAATACTAACGTTTACTGAGGGCTCACTGTGCATGTGCTATGCCCTTTTCTAAATACTTCACTTGCATAATCTTTTGATCCTTGTAAGAACCCTATGAGATAGATACTATTTTGCCCCCACTTCACAGATGAGAAAACCAAGGCATTTTGCTCAAGATCACACAGTTGAGTTGGATGGGTTGTTGAAAACCGTGAGCTATCGGTCTCTTCCTTGGTGAGACCGACGTCTGGGGGAGGTGAGGAGTGGTTCATTCGAGGCTCTCAGAAGCATGGCAGGAGGCAGCCCCATGAACCTGGGGAGCAGCAAACCATGCCGGTGGGACTTGTCTTGGGATCCCCCAACCAGGTTCCCCCTGGGAGAGAGTTCTGGGCCTCTGTTTGGTAAGTCCAGGTGTTGTTTGGTCTGCAAGCAGTTTCATTTTTCTCTCTTCATCATTTAATCAAAGACTTTTTCAGACCGACTGATTGCTCTTGGAAATAGGAACTTCAAAGTTGGGGAGTCAGTGAATAATGGAAGCCTGTGCCAGCTCTCTGAGCCTGCCATTAATGGGAGTAATAACACTATTAATAGCAATGTCAGTGCAGACACTCTGGAAAAGTCCATAACATTAGCTTAATGGCTGGAGGTAATGAAGTCCTCCCCGACCAGCTAGCCTGGTAGATTAACTCCCGAGACTTAGGCAGAAGCCCTTGTGGCCATGGGCCTGCCGGAGCACCCGGGGAGCACCGTGGGGGAGGCACCAGGCTCCCATCTGACCTGCCGCTCTGGGACCAAGTCCCGGCAGGTCCGGGGATCCAGCGGCACAGTAAGCCGAGTGCGCTTCTCAGAGGGAAGAAGACTGAAGGGAAACATTTGAATTGCCCAAAGCTCGTGAAGGGAACATCAAGATGGCAGGGAAAGTGTGTTTCGTGTGCAGCAAGGGGTCTGTCCCTCAATTCTTCGTCTAGACTCTTCGGGGAGGTCAACCGCGGTGGCTAAGCGTGCGGGCTCCAGAGTTCACCTGGGTTACCGACGGTGTCCGATTAGCAGGTGACCGGGACCAGTGACTTGCCATCCTCTCTGCCTGATCTGTAAGGTGGGGTTTACCTTCCTCCTGCCACTTTAAGGGACTTCAGGGACAGACTGTAAGCCCCTTATCACGGTGCCTAGCAAGCACTCGGTGACTTCTAGCTGGGATTCTGTTATTCACAGTTGTTTTTACCTCCACAGACACATCCAGTCTAGTCTAAGGCCACTCGTTGGATCCCCGTGTCTTCCCTTTGGTCCACCCCATTCTCCGGTTTCTCCTTGTCCGCTAAACTCACCTCTCAGGTTCTCCGCCGTTAGGCCTTTCCTCCCACGGGGCCGAAGGTGTCTTCCCCCCCATGGCTGGAGGACAGCCCCCCCAGCTTTCCTCTGTGCCTGAGAGTCACCCTACGAGCGGCTCAGGTGTCCAGGTGCCTCTCCCCTCTTCTTTACCCCGCACCTCACCTGCCTGCTTCCCGAAGCAGAGGTTCTCTCCTCAACATGTCCTTCCCCACGCGGATTCCCCGTCCCTGGACGTTCGGTTCCCTGCTAAACTCCTTGCCCTGTGCGCTCCTGCCTCGCAGCAGCCCTGACATCGCCTTCCTCCGCAGTCTGTTCTCTCCTACCCGGAGACCAGCCACGCAGGGGTGACGACCCGCAGTTCCCTCCGAGGGCCCCTCCCCCTCCCACAGCAGTCAGCAGTCCAGTCTCCAAATCCTGGCCACCCCCTGGGGCCCCGTGTTCACTAGGCTTGTCTGACCCGCACTGAATGCTGTCCCTCAACTCGGACACCTGCCTTCCCCACGTGCAAGGCAGCGTCTGGGTGAGGCTGCGCTGTTCTGTGCGGCGTCCGCAAGCTCCCGTCGGGTACGGTGGTAAGATCCTAGCTCACCCTGGGTGGGTCCACCTGCGACACTTTGAACAGCACAGGACACTGAGCAAGAGTAGCAAACCTCCTGCGGCCGTCACCTGTGCCCGGAGCTAGGCCTCTGATCCAAGGCAGTCTGGCTGCAGAGCGCACTCTGCGCCTTTGATCCGCCCTCCTGTCCCTGCCCCCCACCTGCACAATCTCCTGCCTGCCGGACCCCAGGATCGCAGGGGATTCCGGAACAAGGCAGGCATGTTTCTCCTTCTACCCCCACACTTTGCGGGCGAGGGCTGTCTCAGTCCGTAACTGTGCTCCGATCTAAGAAGTTCTAGACCATAGGAAACTCCAAACTGCTTTTGGCTTTGCCTGGAGTGGGGAGGGGCGGGGCTCGCGTGTGCGTCATAGCTGAGCCACGTCTGGGAGGGTGGGAAGCTGTTGGCCAGGGGAAGACTGGGGGAGGGCTGCGAGACAGACGGACTGATGTGCGCAAGGACAAGGGAGCCTGAGGGTAGGTTACAGTTTGCCTAAGGAGGGGCAGCGTGATCGGGACCCAGGATGAGCGGGAAGGGGGAATGAACGGGACTTTGGGACTCTGTGTGAATGAGGAAGAGGTTAGAAGACTTGAACAGGACTCTCAAGTGTCTGCGTTTGGCAACTGCTTATGAGAATTACCATCTTTTTCTAATTCGGGCGTGCTGGGGGAGGACCAGGCTAGAGCACGGAACGAAAGGTCGGTCCTGGGCACGCTGAGGTTGGACACGCCCGGGAGCCACTGGTGAGGGCTGCCTCCGTGTCAGCGCCTCCCCAGACCAGGCCCCTTCCCCTGAGCCCCGCACCATCTCTCCTCTCAGGTGCACGCGGAAGGAGCGCTGTGCGCGGTCCAGAGAGCCCCACAGGTTTGCCTCTGAGATGAAGCAGTGTGTCCGGCTGACCGTCCATCCCAGCAACATCTCTGTTTCTCAGTACAATGTCCTGGTAAGGGCAGTACGACAGGGTCCAGGGACCTGGAAGAACCCTCTCCCCACCAAAAAGGCTGCAGCCCAGGGGCCCCCGTGAGGGCACGCCCCGGCCAGCAGCGCAGTTTGAGAGCAGGACTGGAACGTTCAAGATGGGGTCCCTGGGACTGGAAGAGGGGGACAGGCACAGGAACACTGGGAGGGCTCTGTGCATAGTGGGTAGAAAGACAGGGGAAACATTGATACCAAAAATGATCCAAAGGGCGACCAAGAGAGGGAGGGTTTGGGGAACAATACCCTTGTCTGTAAGACGGGAAGGATGTACGTGCAGAGGGAGATGGGGTGAGGTGTCCCCGTGTTGTTGCACTAGGCACTTAGTGGTTGCATTGCTATTTTTCCAAAATGGGGGACAATGGAAGAGGAGCTTGACCAGCAGTACCTCAGTCTTGTCCGCCTTTCTTATTCCATATAAATCCCGAAACATCCCGTTTCCTGGGGCCAAATCCGTCTCCTCTCTTTACACCCCACCACCTTCTCTGTGCGCTCTTGTAATAAACTGGTCCCTTCTTCTCTACCTCAACATTGCCTGACGTTCCTCTCTGGTGTCTCTGGCGCTCTCTCCTGCCTCCTTTACGCTTCCCCTTCTTGTCCCCATTTCGTTCTCCTGCCTTTCTGCCTCTGCTGGGCTGTGCACAGCTGGTCCTGGAGACATACAACGTCCCGGAGCTGTCAGCTGGCGTCAACTGCACCTTCGAGGACCTGTCAGAGATGGATGGGCTGGTGGTGGGCAATCAGATCCAGTGCTACTCCCCGGCGGCCAAGGAGGTGCCCCGCATCATCACGGAGAACGGTGAGCAGTCCCCAGGCGCAGCTGGGTGGCACGGCCTTCTTCCCGCCTGGATGCGGACTCAGGGCGGACACTCAGGACAGACGTGGGGCACTGAGGAGACCTTCAGGAGGGGAGGGTCAGAGGCAGGGGTGTGGGTTGGTGGGTGTGTTACGGGAAGAGGGAGATGAGGAGCCCTCCGCTGCCTTTGGAATTGGCTCTTGTAACCAGGGGAGCATCCAAGAGTCAAGCTCACCCTAGATGAGGAGCAACTGCAGAGGGCGGGGGGAGGGCGATACCAGGACAGCAATGCCTGCCGAGTTCAAGGTCGTACACCCATGTGAGAGGGCTGTCTGGAGGAGCAGAGGAGGGGGCGTGGGGGTAGGGGTCCTCTGGCTCCTCACCCGCTGCCCACCCTGCTGGGTCTCTGATCCTGAACCCCTGCACCCCCACCCCACCCTGCCTGCCTATCCAGAGGGGCTTGTTCATGCCCAGCTGCACTGGGAGGGACGGGGTGGACAGAGGCCCGGGGCTGGGGAGGGACAGACCCGGCTGGGCAGATTGATTCCACGTTGGCCCTGCCCTTCGGGCTTGTCATGTTTGTTCCAAGATGATTGATTAATGTGGCCCTTGGGGAAGGCACAGAACCAGGCGGACGTGGGGGCCCGGGGTCAGGGCTGTGAATTAAACATGGGCTCAGCTCCTCCTTGGTGCCAGCCGAGGATTCCAGGGATGCCCGCCTGAGTGGAGCCCGGAGCCCACAGAGGAGGGGCATCAGAACAGGGTCTGTCTTTGCGGGGCCGTGAGCCACGCACCTGCGGGCGTGCACACGCAAAACCTCGTGTGTGGTTTGTGGCAGTGCTAGTGACGGGCGACGTTTCTCCTGGTAGCAGTCAGTGTGTCTGTAGTTCTGTGAGTCTGCCAGGGACATCCTATGTGTGAATGAATGCACGTTTGAATGCCTGTCAGAGTGTGTGTGTGGACATCAAAAAGCTGGTGAGCAAATGAGGGGTGGGTGCCAGGGGTACAGTGTGGAAGGAGGGACGGGCCAGAGTCGTCGTCTGCCGCTGCTCTCGGGCTGCTCTGGGGCGGGGTCTGCTGAGTCGGAGACCTGTTCGAGCTGAGAGCACCCCTCTCAAGGTCCAGCAGGCTCCCCTTCCCAGGGTGCGTCCCGCTCAGGGGGACCCCGCGTGGGGCCTTGCCCTCCCGTGACTCTGTGGCTGGCTCACTCCGCAGGGGACCACCATGTCGTCCAGCTGCAGCTCAAGTCCAAGGAGACAGGCATGACCTTCGCCAGCACCAGCTTTGTCTTCTACAACTGCAGTGTCCACAGTTCGTAAGTGCCCCCTGCTCCACTCAGCTCCCTGTTCCCGGGGGCCGGGTCCATCCAGCGATACACACCCACCGCCGTTCGAAAGGAGTTCCATCCAGGGGCCCTGCAGGGGGGCCTCCTTCACCCCCCGAGGCAGACAGGCCCCTCCCTGCACCCACGGGGCTGATGGAAGGAGGCTAGAATGAGCAGAGTGAGACCCTCAGCGTGGGGAGCTCCAGATCCCCAGCCCACACCCTTCTGTGGCGTCACTCTGTCTAACGGACACTTCCCGCCATCGGCTGAGGAGGGGCCACATCTCATCAGAGGACTGGAGCAGTCAGCACACTGCCGAGGGGGCCTGAGGAGGGAGAGCGGCCCCATGTCCCAGCAGGGCAGGTGCTCCACCAGGTCACTGCATGCTCAGCTCTGCAGGCCCTGCAGGCTGGGTCCGGACTCGGGCTGGGGGGCCCAAGGGGAGCAGAAACGTCCAGGCTGGGGGGCTCTGGCCCTGTTTGAGTAAAGCCTCCACTCCCCACGGAAGGTGCAGAGGCTCTGGATGCAGACCAGCTGGGAACTTAACCACGCGGTGCCCCAGTGTCCTCTGGAACGGGGATGCAGTTCTTCTGGCGCTGTCGCCCAAATCGTACGCAGCTGGTGTGGCGAGGGCACTGTCCCCACGCGCAGCCGCTGGCCGGCAGTGCTGGCCGCCGCCCTGCCCGTCGGCCCCGCTTGGCCCAGGAACAGCTGCCGGGGCTGGAGAACTGTGACCAGGACGGCACGAACGCCGCGTCTGCCCCGGCTGCTGTTGTTATATTATTACGTCCCCTCTAAAATGATGGAGTTGGACCAGACTGAAGAGCTACAAGTCGTTTTCTTCACCATAGATACCTTTGTTCAACCAAAATTAGCTGTGGAGGCCCAATAAACATAATAAATGGAAGTAAGAGCCACTGTGGTTGAGGGTCGGGGGTAGAACCCCTCCGTCTGAGAACTCCCCATGTCTGTTTCCTCACACTGTCCCCAAGAAGCCCATGGAATCCCCGGGGTTCCACGGAGCTCAGTTTGAAAACCGTAGGACCTGATGTCCCAAAGCCCACTGGCTTTAATATGCTGTGTGTTTCCTCCCCACAAAGGACAAGCTAGTTACCGGGACCAGAGATGTTTGGGGGACAGGTGGAGCTTTAGGGTTTAGCTGTCTGGTTACAGCAGCCTTGAGTCCGAGCCTGGCTCTCATTGGGGCCCCAAGTAAGAGGCAGGCAGACCTCCCAGCCGAAAGCAAGCTGGAACTCTCTTTCTGCTTCTTGCCACGGGACTCCTGGGTCTTACCGCTCAGGGCCTCCTCCCTCCCTCCCCTGTTCCCCTGTAAGGAAGCAGAGTCTAGATAAATCGTGTGCCGTTTCCATTCCGTCCACAACACGATTATAGCGTGTACTATGTGCAAGGCAGTGTGTTACTCGTTAGACGGGTAATCAACACGTCGTAAGATGCCGAGACTCCATCCCTGCCCTCAGGAGTCATGCCCAGTGGGCCAGTGGGTGAACTGGACAGGGAAATAGAAAATAGAATACAAGGCCGGAACTGCCCCGGAGACATCAACAAAGGGGTTGGTGGCATGAGGGCTCAGTCTGACCACTCTCCCCTGGTCCGAGGAGGAGGAGGAGATGGCAAGTGGAAGGAGGGAAGACGGTGTCCTAGGAACAAGGATGGCATGGGAGAGCCTGTTCGTGTCCAAGCCACACGCACGTGGGAACACGGACCTGGACACCAGGAAGGACTTAGCCTGTGTGGCAATAGGGGTTTTACCCTTTGGAAAAGGGAACCATGTTGGGTTTTTAAGCAGGAAGGAACTTTTATGAAGTTGCCTTTGTTTCCTGGGGGCGAAGTGTAGAGGTGGGGTTGCCATCCCACTGAGAGGGCAGCCCCGGAGCCTTCTTCCGCCAGGTGGGCTCATGCGAGTGCTTGGCAGCTGAGGTCCTGGGTCCACTGAACCAACACGCAGCTGCTTCTTCATTTGCTCTAAGTCTCGTGGGCTCTCTGGACAAGCCCCTGCACTCTAGGACGTGCTGTTCTCCAATTCCGCAGAAGAGGATGCCTTCCCGTGGAAACGGAAGCTGGTTGCTGAGGCCCTTGGAGACCAAGGTTGTCAGCCACCTGAGTGAGAGGGAGGAAGCCTGAGGTTCTTGGCTGGCTGAGGACTTGGCGAGGAAAGAGACGGATTGTTTAAGATTTGCTCTCCCTTAGTATCTGAGGGTGGTTTCTCTTACTACTGAAAGATGTTTTCCTAGACTCTAGAGTCTTAGGCCCTCCGCTTTGGGGTCGCCCAGTTTGTCTGATTACTGCTTCTCCCTCCTCTGTCACCAGGTGCCTGTCTTGTGTAGAGAGCCCATTCCACTGCCACTGGTGTAAATACCGACACGTCTGCACCCACGACCCCAAGACTTGCTCCTTCCAGGAAGGCCGCGTGAAGTTGCCTGAGGTAGGTCCCGGGAGCCTGCCGGCTGTGAGCGTGGGACACACACGCAGGCAAACCCGCAGGACCCCCTGCTCCTCCCCACCCCGTACTCCCAAGGGACCACGTTATGCAAGCAGTAAACAAGCAAAGCTCTGCACTGGGACCAGTGGGCTCTGGGTCAGTCCTGGAGGTTCGATTCCAGACACAGGTGCATTCAGGTAAGTTCTAGAATAATTCCAGGGAGATGAGTGTGTGTGTCCTAGAGATAACTGTTCGCACACAGCAGAACTGTGCAGAGACCCATGAGCTGTCCATCAGAGCACTGTGCAGAGAGCAGGACCGAGATACTTTACAATTAAGTAAGAAGAAGAATGAAAGAAGGGTCAACGTAGCCAGAGCGGTGATTCTCAAAACGTGGATGCCAGGTCGGTGGCATCAGCATCACTGCGAAGCTGTTAGAAATACTAAGTCCCTGGTTCCACCCAACCAGCTGGACGAGGACGTCCGGCTGGGGCCAGGTGCTCCGTGCTGCTGCCACACGGTCCAGCGTGGAGTCACTGCGATGGCGCTGTCCCCACGGCTAAGATACCGCCTCCTATTCCCCCAGTCGTCACCCTTCTTGAGACCTGCCCGTCACCATGGTAGAAATGCCCTATGCCTGTGTTGTCACCTTTCTTAGGATGTAAGTTTGTGAGCAAGGACTTCAAAGATAACAGGTCCAAAAACACTTCGGCGGAGTCTGCTGCTGTTCAAACGCATGGTTCTGGTGGGACTCCCGCCATCGGGCCAGTCGTTCTGAACAGAGTGGTTGCTTTAGAACATTGTGATTTAGAATATCCTTGTCCACACAGAAGAAGGGGCTGTGGAGGCCGCCAGACATATCCCTCTCCCAACACACACACACACAGTGGGATCTGTCTGTGGCTGGAAATACACACACACACACAGTGGGATCTGTCTGTGGCCGGACATGGCTGCTCTGGATTTGTAATCTGGAAGAGAGACCTGGACAGAGATTGTCCCTTACGAGGGAAAGGAGAAAGGCGTTTGCATCTCGGCTGTGAGTAGGAGTGTGAATCTAATGTTGGTGTCAGCTCTCTGCTCTTCTTGAAGACAAGACGGATCCAAAGCTAACAGGACAGACCTGGATTTGGCAGCCAGTGGGCACACCCTTGGCACGGAGATGCTGATAAAAGGCTGGACAGTCCCCTCGGTCTCTTACCTCGGGGCATGGGGTCCGGAGCAGAAGGGCTGGTTCGCCCGCCAGGCCAGGTGCTGAGAGTCAGGGAGCAACCTCTTCTACTTCTGTTCAGAAACCTGCGCGTTACCTGCTGGGCGTGGAGACCACGCGGTCTCCGCCTGTCTCCCCTTCCAGACCCATGTATCCGACAGGGGGCTCGCGCGTGGAGAGGCTGAGGAATCAAACGAAAGCAGAAATGATTGAGCTATCTGGTGGATTTCCAAGGCCCCGATCATGTAATTACCCCGAAGGAGGTTTTCAAATCTCTGCTTCTTCTTTCTTGTTTGCTGCCCTTCTCCCAAGTTTCTTTCTTTTAAATCTATCAAAGGAACGTGCACCCGCCGCTCAGAAAGAGGGAAATAGAACCGGAGGAGACAAAGACCAGAGCCCGCCATGTCTCCCAGGGCTGTTGGGAGCACTGTAGAAGAACCGGGTCTTCAAGGGCCCAGATTGCAAAACAGGCAGGACCGCCCCGCCCCCCACTGCTGCCCGACACCGGCCAAGGCTGCTGGGGACTCACAGCACCTCAGAGGGCTTGGTGCCAGGTCCCCCAGGAAAGGGAGCAGCCTGGAGGTGCACGGCCAGGGTGGGGGCAATGAAGTGGACTAACCTACCTCTGCCGACCTTCAGTCCTCCTGTCTCCCCTGAGCCGTTTTCTGAGGAGCCTGGCAGGCCCTCCAGTCTGAGTCTCCGGTGGAATCACCGTCCTTCCCTTACACGTCATTGAATGACACTGACTCTGGCTCCGCTTTTCCTTGGACACCTATTTACTCTAAAAGGTGGACGTTCTAAGGCTGTGCCTCTGGTCCAGGCGTGCCGGCTGCCTCTATCCAGCTCGACACTAAGGCCGTTTGGAATACAACACAGAGGAGCCGGCATCGACCACCTCGTGATGAAGACGGTCGCAGCATCTTTTTGGAGAATGTGCTAAAGGGAAAGGGAGTTAATAAATATGTGTGGACTATGGACTGGTTCAGCCGCTTTGGGTCAGTGGAAGGAGGTTATTGTCCTCAGAGCTTGAAAGAAAAACCCTTGGCTACTAATGGAACTGTGGTGAATTTTTTTATGTTGTTTTGTTTTCTGTATTTTTGTTCCGGCAAAGAGATAGTAGCAGGAATAAGGGCTAACAAAGAAAGTCACATATTTCAAAGGTGATTTTGTGGAACCCCTCTCCCCCCGATATGAGTGTCTTTTCTCCACACGGGGGAAGAGCGTACTGTAGCATGATGCTCTGACCCTTGCTGGCTATCACCATCCATCCTTCATGACAGTTCCTGCGCATGTCTCGCTGAGAGAGACGTAAGGTGTGGAAGAGGTCTGTGAGTGTGCGGGCCCCTGGTCTGCATGGTCTGTGACTTAGGTGGAAAGGAGCTGGGAGGCATGAAGAGAGTTCCATGCCCACAAAGTGGTCCCGGAGGGCGAGTGTTCCCATCGAGGCTTGGGCCTCCCAGTGCTACCTAACCGGACTCTCTGGGCCTCGGCCCGCAGCCCTGGGGTCCAAGTGCAGATCTACCCTCCTGGAGTGACGGTGAGACCCAAGCCCGGTGATTCTTGCAGAGGTCCCTGGGTTTTCATTTCCTTTTAATTTCCGATGTGGGGCACAGACAAGGTCCTTTTGTTGGCCAAGGGGGTGCTGCCCGGTGGCTTTTCATCTACCCGGCTGCACCGTGTGCTCTAAGGAGGGCTTCTACCGGTGTGCCTTCCAGTTTCAACCCCGGCTTTGTTGACTCTCACCGGGGATGTTGAATCCCCTTTCTTTTTTTCTTTTTTTCCCTGAACAAAGAGTCATTCAGTGAAGTTATGGGTCTGGAACAGAGAACTGGTCAGTCATTGTTGTCCTTATATTAATGGCATGTATTCTAGCATAATTACAATTATTAGAACTAGAATGTCCCGTAACATATGTCGTTTATAGTAACTGTACTCCAGTTACAAGGAATGATTTTGTTTCAGCTAATGATGGGATGGTGATAACCTCCCTGGGTCCTTAGATCCGCTGCCAGAGCATGGGCACCAAAGAGGGGGAGAGGGCAGCGAGGGGAAACAGGTGGACGAGGGTCTTCCCGCTCCCAGCCCTGCCCGCCCCACACCGGCTGGAGCTCCTTGCTGCCCAGTGGCATGGCCTTTCCTCGGGGCAGCCGTGACCAGGGCCGTGCCCTCACCTCCACCAAACGGAGGGGCCACTTGTCCCCAGGTGGCCGTGGGTTCCCCAGGCGCCTCCTCCTGCTGACCTGCACCCCCTCAGGCCCACACACTGAATAACAGGGTCGTTAGGAAACAAGGGCGAAGAGCCACGGAAAAGCAAATTCAGTGACAAGAAGGTGCCCTCCGTGGACCAGTTCACTGTTGTTTCTCATCGGAACCGAGAAGGAACGTGAGCGGCCGCTGAAGCTTCCCCAGGCGCCCGGCTGGATGGTCCGGCTAGGCAGGCGGGGCGTCCCTGGCCCGCGGGCGCCGGTCAGAGGAGGTTCCCGCAGCCCCTCTCTCCTTGAAGTTCGAGCAGAGTTTACTCCAGAGACAGTTGTACGATCAGAAGAGGCTAAATGGATTCTATTTGATTTCCAAAGCTGTGTTTGAAAGGGTCTCCCAACCTCCCTTACCACCCCAGCGTGGGCATCGGGAAATCCGCCAACCCGCCGGGTCAGTCCCCGCCGGGGCCGAGGAGCTGGCAAGGCGAGGAAGGTGCTGAGCCCGGACTGCTGCCCGGTCCTGGGCTGACAGGAGCCTTGCGCCCCCCACAGGGCGGCCAAGGGCACTCACCTCCCAGCGGGACTCAAGGGAAATCACCAGCCCGGCTCGTCTCTTCTTGCGGAGGAGCCATTCCCAGGACCCAACCCGAAGGAACAGAAGCACCCTTCCATGCCCTGCACCCTTTTCTTGAGGAAAACGGAGCCAATCCCGGCTGAAGGGCCGCCCCCAGTCCCGCGCAGCCCCCGCTCCGGTGTTCCATTACCGGGTTGCCCTTTCTCCAGACAACTGCACTTTCCATCAATCTCGTCCGCCCCTCCCCCCTTAAGGTTATGGGTATTTCCTTTCTGTATTATTACTTTGCTTTCTCCATAAACCAGCCCATCGTAGATCACGCTAATGGCATTATAAACTTGGGGGACAGCAAGAAAATATATGGTGCGTTACGTTATCGTATTGGGCACCACGGGTTTGAGAAGGTGAGTGTGAATTTGGGGGGTTGGCTGGGGCTAGAGCTGGCTTGTCTTTAGAACTGATGGGGGCTGAGGTGACATGGAAGGGAAAGGTGACCTGCAAATCGCTTATTCCTTAGCTGTCCCTAGATGCTGCCCAGCCCAGCTCTCCCCGCCCCCAGGGCACCATCGTGCCCCAGCCCTGCTGGGGGAACCAGAGCCCTCAGCTTGTAACCACACTGGGGGCTGTAAATCCACAGGCCCGCCACCCCCTCCCCAGGCCGCACCAGCCCTGAAGGCTGCAGTCTTTATGACCTTGTTCAATTATTTAGACATGCAACGAAACCTCTGTATAAAGCAGCCGCTGACGTGCTGGACATGGTAGACAGAGAAGCATCCTTTTTGCTTCCATACTTTGGCTTGGGTCGCTCTCAATTAGCAGTGCGCTCTTTCTTCTGTGTGCATATAAGTGGAGACCGAGACATGCACGGGGTGGGCAGGTGACCTGGCGCCCACCGGAGCGGCCTCCCGTACGCCAAGATGGTCCAGAGTTCCTCGAGCCTCAAGCCACTGACCGCCGTTCGTTCTTACAGCTGCGGAAAGTAGCCACAGGCCAAACAACCTCCAGGGGCTCTGGCTCCTAC